TATTTTATAGAACTTCGTTTACAGTGAATAAATATGATTTGGAAATATAATTCATATCTGTCCAACTCTTATGTTTATGTAAAGCTCTAATTTAGCGGTTATGGATTCGAAATATGGGATGCAACATAGGACAAGTTCTGTCCTGAGTTCAAAAGTAGAAATCCTGTATGGAAAATTATTAGTGTTTTGAATATATCTTTTTGTACAAAATATATTTTGCGGTGATTCTTGTTTTTAGCAACCTTAAGATATGTACCTACATCTTTCATGAAGGTTATAAAGTCTAGTTTTTGCCGTTTTCCTTTTCAAATATAAGTTGCGACATGAGGTACTAGGCTAGCCAGAATCACTGTTTTGGGAACATAGTTGTATTTGTACAGGCTAAGCTTACTTGTGATGATAATCCTGTTTTACTTCGACATTATTGAGATACTTGGAATTAAAAAAGTTATTTAATTGTATTTTTAAGGTTGTATATACTCGTGAACAAGTTGAGGACCTTGATACATTGGTTGGTCTACTGTTTGAACTCGCGAAGTTGTGTTGGACTATTTCTACACAAAAGTATTGAGGTTTGTGTATAAACTTGTACTTGTACTCTTTTTACCTGCTGGTACATCTGAAAGTTTATCTTGGTGCCTTGGTTACCTCTTGTCACTTTGCATTGTCATGTTGTTATCCTTTAAGACGTTAAACACACTTGTGTAACTCGCCCACTCATACGGATTGTTTGATCAGTTGGCACTATTATTGGGACCTTGTCCTTCCTGTGGCTGTGACTTTGTCACTATTGGCATACCTCTTGATTCGGATCATTTGTCATCTTGACTCTAGATTTTTAGTCCGTCTTAAGAATGAAAGTTGTCCATTTTAAGTACGAACTAGAAGGCCATTTTTAATATGGTTCTTGGTTCTCTTGATTATTAGGCTTTGACCCTTCTTGATACAGGGCATCGACTCTTCTTGATACCTGTTTCTGCTTGGTGTGACAACATGATGTATATATTGGGCGAGCCTTGTTGTTGAGTCTCTTAGAAAGTGGTGCTATGAGCATTCTTGATATTTGGATCTTTAATTATCGAACTTGATACTCTTTATATATTGTTACTTGATTTATTTATTATGTTTCAACTGTGTTGCTCCTGACTTGAGAAGGTAGCTTGGTGAATCTGAGGGCTCCGAACCTATAGTTTTTACACCACTAAGCTATATGCTTAGCAATAGTTGTTTCTATCGTAGGGAATGATCGAGAGGAGGCATGAAGCGGGCCATTGGAGATGGAGATTTTGAGAGCTTTAAGGAAGATCACATTTGCATATAGGCATCTATATTTTGTATAAACCTTGGGACTTATACATGATCTGTGTGTTGTATATTTACATGAAATTTTGAGGGCTAATCTGATCATGTCACCATGGGTTGTAATATTAGTATGCCTATATGATTTGTTCTTTTGGGGTGTGTAAGCCCAAGTCTTGTAATATATTAAATTTACCACCAATTTTGAATGATTGTGTGAAGCATGAACCACCTAGTTTGGATGCTCGGAAGTTGGTAATATTCTTTTTATATCATTTTTACTTGTAAGGACAATATACACATAAACATCTCGTGAGTTATTGGCTTATATTATTTCGGAAGGGTCGCTACAAGTGTTGGTATCAGAGCCTAAGTTTGTGGATCTAGGACTTTTACTGTGAATTACTTGTATAATTGTTCGCTTTCAAAAAAGGTTTTATTTGGATTATTTGTTCAGTTACATGGTTTAAAATATTTTTATCGCATGTAGAGTGCACATGCATCATGTACATGTCCTAATGCAATGTGATCTTCCATTTTGAAGGAATTAAGTTATGGCCTCTTCTTCTGAGCGACCTATGGAAGCTGCTCGTAAAGGTTCGGGTACCTCTGTTTCCCAACCTCATGCACTAGAAGAGGTTGGAGAACCTTTCTCGAATCAATATGTTCCCCACACTAGTGGGTCTGAAGTGGGAAACCATGAGGTGTAAGAGTTGGTTAACATCCTCACATGAGTCGTGGTACTCAAGCCATGAATCCTCTTTTCAACAAATGGTTGAATTCTTCCACCACATGGCTGAAGCGATGCATGATCCCAACAGGATTAACTTTGAAAAAATGAGTAAAATGGGTGGAGTGGAGTTTGAAGGCACCGTTGATCCCACAGATGCTGAACAATGGTTGGAGCGCATGGAGAGGGTATTTGAGCAGTTAGAGTGTTTAGATGTTGTCAAATTTAAGTATGCTATTTCACTATTACAAAAGAATGCTTACGATTGGTGGGTAAGTGTTCCAAATGCCAATGTAAAACCTCCTGTTCTTACTTGGGATGATTTTCTTAGGGAATTTCGTATGAAATATGTCCCACCTTCTTATTGTGATGCAGAGAGAAATGAGTTTTTGAATTTAAGGCAACGAGGCATGTCTATTGCTGAGTACCAACAGAAGTTTCTAAGGCTTCTCGTTATGCTGGGGTATTATTAAAGAGGAAAAAGACAAGTGCAGGAAATTTGAAGACGGTTTAAATGATTCCATTAGAAAGAATGTGGCGATCCTGCAACATGAGAACTTTTGTAAGTTAGTGTCTCTGCTTTCACTTGGGAACTACTTGATAAAGAAGAAGCTAGTAGAAATGAAAACAAATTCTGAAAGCCTAGACCAGATTTTGGGGGTCCATCAAAAAGGGGAAGGTTTGATAATTCTAAGGCTAGTAGTGATAACAGGCCACCGCAACAAAAGCAAAACAGATCAGATTTTTCTACAGTTAGCACTCCAAATTATGGCCAAGGCAACCCTCGCGTTCCCACTTGTCCACAATGTGGAAAGAACCATTATGGTACTTGCATGAGAGCTTCTAGTGCATGTTTCAATTGTGGGAGCTTTGATCATAAAGTAAAGGATTGTCCTAATCCTAATAATGCTCCTTCCTAGAGAACTGAAGGCTCAGTTCATAAGCATTCTATAATCCTCCTCAAACTAATGAAGGTGCAAAACCTAAAATCACCCAAGCAGCAGGGGGCAAGTGGAGCGAATAAAGCTAGTGTACCAAAGGCTATTGCACATGCTTATGCTATGAGGCAAAGGGATGATCAAGATGAAAAAGACGTGGTTGTCGGTAAATTTCACTTATTTGTCTTATGTGTGTTTACATTTTTGATCCTGGTTCTACACATTCCTATCTTTGTTCATCGCTAGTTCTTACTGAAAACGTGAAATCTGTGAGACTTAATTTTGATGTGTTGGTTGAAAGTCCTTTGGGTTATCAAGTTACGTGTAATCGAGTTTACCAAGATTGTCCCTTCGTGATTCAAATAGTCTTCCCTACTGATTTGATTGAAATGCCCTTTAAGGATTTTGATGTTATTATCGGGATGGATTGGCTTTATAAATATCATGCAGTAGTAGATTGTAGGTCTAAGCATTTAACATTAAAAGATCCGACATTTTCACACATCATTGTACAAGGTGAAAGATCATTGACATCTAGTATTATTTCTGCGGCCTTGGCAAGAAAGTTGATGCGTCAAGGTTGTGGGGCATACCTTGCTCACATAGTTGATACACATTTGGAGAGTCCTTGTATCAAGGACATAACTGATGTATGTGATTTCCAGAAGTCTTCCCAGAAAACCTTCCTGGATTGACTCCGGAAAGAGAGGTTGAATTTCCAATCAAGCTTATTCCTGGATCTACCCCTATTTCTATCACTCCTTATAGAATGGCTCCGTTAGAATTAATAAAATTGAAATCTAATTGCAAAAACTTCTCGAGAAAGGTTTTATTCGACCTAGTGTTTCTCCTTGGGGAGCCCCTGTTTTGTTCGTAAACAAGAAAGATGGCACTCTTAGGCTTTGTATTGATTATAGACAATTGAACAAAATAACAATCAAGAATAGATATCCATTACCGAGGATCGATGATTTGTTTGACCAACTGAAGGGTGCTAAAGTATTCTCAAAAATTGATTTAAGGTCTGGATATCACCAACTGCTTGTTAGAGCGAAAGATATTCCTAAAACTGCTTTTAGAACTCGGTATGGTCATTATGAATTTTTGGTGATGCCATTCGGATTGACAAATCATCCTGCGGTATTCATGGTTCTAATGAATCAAGTATTCAAGCCTTATCTTGCTCATTTTGTGGTTGTTTTTATAGATGATATTTTAATATTTTCTAGAAGTAGTGAAGACCATGATAAACACCTCTGGATTATTTTGCAAATTTTGAAGGAGAAGGAACTTTATGCTAAACTTTCCAAGTGTGAATTTTGGCTTGATGAAGTGACGTTTCTGGACATGTTGTATCAGCCGAAGGCGTGAAGGTGGATCCTAGTAAGATACAAGCAGTGGTTGAATGGAGGCCTCCCAAAAGTCCAACCGGGGTAAGAAGTTTCTTAGGCTTAGCGGGATACTACAGAAGATTTGTGAAAGGCTTTTCCATTATCGCCTCTCCTTTGACTAAGCTCTTGCAGAAGGAAGTAAAGTTTATTTGGGATGACAAATGCCAAAAGAGCTTTGAAACTCTCAAATCCTTTTTGACTCAAGCGCCTATACTTACTCTACCAATTGAAGGGAAATAGTATGTAGTTTATAGTGATGCTTCTCGCAATGGTCTAGGATGCATTTTGATGCAAGAAGGGAAGGTTATTTCTTATGCCTCTTGAAAATTAAAACTACATGAATTGAATTATCCTACCCATGATCTTGAACTTGTTGTTGTAGTGTTTGCTTTAAAAATATGGCGGCATTATTTGTATGGAGAGAAATGTCATATATTCACTGATCACAAGAGCTTAAAGTACTTGGGTACTCACAAGGAGCTAAACCTTCGACAACGTAGATGGCTTGAACTCATCAAGGATTATGACTGCACGATTGATTATCATCCAGGTAAAGCCAATGTGGTTGCAGATGCCTTAAGTTAAAAATCCTTTGCAAGCATTTCTTTGAGTCCTTTACCCTTGCTTCTTGAGTTAAGACCCATGAATGTTTGTTTTACACCTGATTCAAATGGTTCAGTTATTGCTAATTTGCAAGTAAAGCCAATATTACTTGAACAGGTGAAGGAAGCACAAAAGTTAGATGAGAAACTTGTAAAATTGACCAGAGAAGTTCAAAATGGGGGAAAACTTGATTTTACATTAACAGAGGATGGTGTCTTATTTTATCAGAACATGTTATGCATCCCTAATGATGACAAATTGAGGAGAAAAATACCGAATGAAACACATATTTCACCATATGCAATGCATCATGGAGGTACAAAGATGTACCAGACCAGCAAAGAACATTATTGGTGGAATGGTATGAAGAGAGACATTGCGGAGTTCATTTCCAAATGTTTGGTTTGTCAACAAGTAAAGGCAGAACATCAGGTCCCAGTTGGTTTACTACACCCTTGTCGATGCCGGAATGGAAATGGGAGAGAATAACTATGGAATTTGTTTCTGGACTTCCTCGCACCCAAAGAAATCATGATGCAATATGGGTGGTTTGGACAGGCTAACCAAGAGTGCTCACTTCTTAGCAATCAGGATGGATTACTCACTTGAGCGTTTAGCCAAATTGTACATTAATGAGATTGTAGACTCATGGGATCCCTATGTCTATTGTATCTGATCGAGACCCAAGGTTTACATCTAGATTTTGGGGTAGCTTGCAGGAAGTTTAGGTACTAAGCTGAAATTTAGCACTTCGTTCCATCCTTAGACAAACGGCCAGTCGGAAAGGGTGATACAAATTTTGGAGGATATGCTTCGAGTTTGCATTATGGAGTTTGAGGGTAGTTGGGACAAACACTTGGCTTTGATAGAATTTGCTTACAATAACAGTTATCAATCAAGTATTGGAATGCCTCTCAATGAAGCCTTGTACGGAAGGAAATGTCGAACCCATCTTTGTTGGAGTGAAGCTGGTGACAGGAAACTTATTGGTCCTGAAATTGTGCAACAAATAGAGGACAAGGTAAAAATTATCAAGGATCGTCTAAAGATTTCTTCGGATAGATAAAAGTCGTACGTTGATCTTAAAAGGCATGACATTGAATATCAAGTGGGAGATAAAGTATTCTGGTGTCTCCATGGAAAAAGATTATGAGATTTGGCAAAAAAGGAAAACTTAGTCCCCAATTTATTGGACCTTATGAGATACTTTAAAGGGTTGGACAGTTGCATAGAAATTGGCTTTGCCACCTGAGTTAGACAAGATCCACAATGTCTTCCATATTTCTATGCTCAGAAGATATCGTTCTGATCCATCTCATGTTCTTCCAGTTGAATCTATTGAGGTTAATCCTGACTTGACGTATAATGAAGAACCTATTTTAATTCAAGCTCGGGAAGTGAAGCAACTTAGAACAAGAAAATCCACTTAGTAAAGGTACTTTGGAGGAACCAATCGGGAGAAGCTATTGGGAGAGAGAAGAAGACATGAGGACCCAATATCCGCACTTGTTTCGGGACTAGTGTAAGGTAAATTTTGAGACGAAATTTCTTTAAGGGGGAGAGAGTTGTAACACCCCGAAATACTAGCCAAGAGTCGTATGTCGATTTATCGTTGCTTAATTAGTACAATATGTTTTACTCTCATTTTGGGAACTTGAAATGTTGTGATAATTGCTAACTTGCTTAACATAAATTGTGATCATAATTTAAGGGATTGAGTTGGAGTGTTTATGTAATATTCTAGTTAGAATTAGGTATAACTTTAAGAGGAGGTGAAGGATATATATATAGGTGTATATGTAAGCATTTTGGGCAGCACACAACTATTTGGGCAGCACCTTGAAGGACAGTTGTACAAGGGATAAACATCACCTTTGTGACTACATATTTTCACACCTCCTTTAGTAAATTCATTTCCCTCAAGTCTTAGAACCTTAGAAACATATCTAAACAGTTTGTTCTTCAAAATCACGAGAGGAAAACTTTGTCCTTTTGGCTGGGATTCGAGACACACCCTTCTCTTTGGTAAGTGGAAAAATCTATTTTTAAGTTGGGTAGTGTTTAGTATTTTAAGCATAACTTGTTTTATAAACTTAATTTGCAGTGAATAAATATGATTTGGAAATATAATTCATATATGTACAACTCTTATGTTTATGTAAAACTCTAATTTAGTTGTTATGGATTCGAAATATGGGACGCAACATAGGACAAGTTCTGTCCAGAGTTCGAAAGTAGAAATCATGTATGGAAAACTGTTTGTGTTTTGAATATATCTTTTTGTACAAAAATATTTTGCAGTGATTATTTTTTTAGCAACCTTAAGATATGTACCTACATCTTTCATGAAGGTTATAAAGTCTAGTTTTGCCATTTTCCTTTTCAAATCTAAGTTGCGACATGAGGTACTAGGCTGGCCAGAATCACTGTTTTGGGAGCATAGCCATATTTGTACAGGCTAAGCTTACTTGTGATGATAATCCTGTTTTACTTCAACATTATTGAGATACTAGGAATTATAGAAGTTATTTAATTGTATTTTAAGGTTGTATATACTCGTAAACAAGTTGAGGACCTTGATCCGTTGGTTGGTCTACTATTTGAACTCGCGAAGTTTTGTTGGACTATTTCTACGCAAAAGTATTGAGGTTTGTGTTTAAACTTGTACTTGTACTCTTTTTACCTGCTGGTATATCTGAAAGTTTATCTTGGTTCCTTGGTTACCTCTTGTCACTTTGCATTGTCATGTTGTTATCCTTTAAGACGTTAAAGACACTTGTGTAACTCGCCCACTTATACATATTGTTTGATCACTTGGCACTCTTATTGGGATCTTGTCCTTCTTGTGGTTGTGACTTTGTCACTATTGGCATGCCTCTTGATTCAGATCATTTGCCATCTTGACTCTGGATTTTTAGTCCATCTTAAGAATGGAAGTTGTCCATTTTAAGTACGAACTAGAAAGCCATTTTTAATATGGTTCTTGGTTCTCTTGATTATTGGGCTTTGACCCTTCTTGATACATGTTTGTGCTTGGTGTGACGACATGATGTATATATTGGGCGAGCCTTGTTATTGAGTCTCTTGGAAAATGGTGCTATGAGCTTCTTGACAGTTGGATCTTTAAATATCAAACTTGATACTCTTTATATATTGTTACTTGATTTATTTATTATGTTTCAACTGTGCTTCTCCTGACTTGAGAAAGGTAGCTTAGTGAATCTGAGAGCTCCGAACCTATATTTTTTACACCACTAAGCTATATGCTTAGCGATAGTTGTTTCTATCGTAGGGAATGATCGAGAGGAGGCATGAAGCGGGCCATTGAGATGGAGATTTTGAGAGCTTCAAGGAAGATCACATTTGCATATAGGCATCTATATTTTGTATAAACCTTGGGACTTATACATGATCTATGTGTTGTATATTTACATGAAATTTTGAGGGCTAATCTGATCATGTCACCATGGGTTGTAATATAAGTAGCCTATATGTTTTGTTCTTTTTGGGGGTGTAAGCCCAAGTTTGTAATATATTAAATTTACCACTAATTTTGAATATTCTGTGAAGCAAAACCACCTAGTTTGGGTGCTCAGATGTTGGAAATATTCTTTTTATATCTTTTTACTAGTGTGAGGACAATATATGCATAAAATATCTTGAGTTATTGGCTTATTTTTTTCGAAAGGGTCTCTACAGGGAGATTATGGGATCTGATTCATGCATTGCACAAGTAAGCTTTAGGGTATGTAGAGATGTTCCTCTTATGGTATGATGATCTATGAGTTGACTATGCTTATGACTTATGCTTTTCCATTATCTTCAAAATGATGCTTTAACTTAGTAAATTGCATGCATTCAACTAAAATGTCCCTTTTAGCATGTTTTCATGATTTTATGCATAGCTATCATACTTAGTGCATTTTTGTCCTAACCCATATTTTCCTACATTTTTCGTAAGTGTAGGGTCCGGTTTCAAGGTGGTCATTATTGTGGCTAGAGCTTGGATTTACTCATTTCCCCTTGCTTGTTGGTGAGTCCTCATGATTCGAGGACATATTTTCCATTTAAGTTTCATTCTTGCATTTGACTTTCAGATTCTATTGTATGGGCTGTGACCCTATTTTATTCAAGTATTGTAATAGATGGCTAATTGAGACAAGTCTAGACTTCGCTTTCCTTTATGAAAATCTTGGATTGAAATGCTTTTTACTCTTTATTGTTTTATGCTCATGTTATGATATGCTAAGTGGCTTACATGGTGCCTTTCGAGGTCTATGTGCCTTGTTACGTCTAGGGGGTACCTTGGGTCGTGAAGTACCACATCACTCACCAAGTAATTAGCGAGATCTACGAACAAGGGATAAGATCATAAGAGACTACCAAAATCTTTTCTTATGGAAACGTATTATCTATCTCAACCTATCGTCCAACTTTAACATTGCTTCTTCTTCCAATCTGACAAGTGATCACAACTTGATTTTCAGTCCCTTTCCTATATTTCACTTCGAAGTTGAACTCTTGCAACAACAACACCCATCGAATTAGTCTTGGTTTAGCATCTTATTTGCCATAAGGTATCACAAAGTTGCATGGTCAGTGTGTGCATAGTGACTTTGGTGCAAGAAAATAGGATCTAAACTTCTTAAACGCGAAGACTACAACAAGGAATTCTTGTTTGGTGACTGTGTAGTTCTTTTGAACAATATTTAGGGCTTTGGCACATAGTATATGGGATAAAGAATCTTCTCACGCCTTTACCCTAACAACATGCCAAGCACCACCCCACTCACATCACATACAACTTCAAATGGTTGTCCTAATTCGATGAAATAATGATAGGTGATGAGATCAACTTCTCTTTCAAACCTTCAAACGCCTACAAAAAGCATCATCACTCAGACTTTATTTCCTTCTCAAGTAACTTGCATAATGGGTGCGCTGTCTTGGAGAAGTCTTTGATAAATCGTTGATAAAATCAGGATGTCCAGAAAGTTTTAACATCCTTCATAGGGATAGGTGGGGGAAACTTTTCAATCACCTCATTTTTGCTTTATCAACTTCAATGCCTTTTTGAGGATTTTATGGCCAAAAACTATGCCTCTTTCACCATGAAGTGACACTTCTCCCAGTTTAACACGAGATTGCATTTTCCACACCATTTTAGAACATCACCTAGGTGGGCCAAGCAATCATCAGACAAGTCACCTATAATATAAAATTCATTCATGAATACCCCAATAGTGCTTCCGCCATATCTAAGAAGATAGACATTATGAAACAATGAAAGGTCATTGGTGCAACCACAACTGAACGAACTCCTCATGAAAGAAAATGTCCCATAGGATCAAGTGAAAATGGTCTTATCTTGGTCTTCAGGATCTATATAGTCTGATTGTAGCGTGAATACCCATCTAGAAAAAGTACCAACCTTTACCAAAAAGGGATCTAACATTTGATCCATGAATGGCATTGGGAAGTGATCCTTC